TTGAGTTAAATTCCTCCCAGCTGTGTGACACAAGAGGCACAGAGTCTCCAAGACAACAGTCAAGACAGTGGGCAAGACAGCAACTTGTTACTCAACTATAACAGACATTATCCGTAGCCTTGGGCTAATTTTTCCACACTCCATTGTGTGAAATGGGAAGAGCAGCTCTTCCTTCCCCTCCCTTCCACTGTTGCAGTGCATGGTGAAAAACAAAACATCTCAAACACTACAGAAAGATATACCTCATAGAAGCAATGACACAGCTTCTGGCCGGCTCCTCAGGACTCCCTTTTGTCTGGGAGTATTAGTATGCAGCAGTGTCAAGTCAACAGGGCTGTGAGTGAGCTTGCTTGGCCACCACAAGCAATGTCAGGAAGTCACTGAGACACAACTGTACCTGCAGTGATGCCAAAAAGGGCACAGCAGGATTACAGTAAAATGCACTAAAAATTCAGTGGATGCAAGGAGGTTTGGGAGTTAACGTGCGCACTAACAAATCCCCTGGTGCTCCTCTCTGCCGGGCAAGTCGGTGTAACAATACACAGGGGAAAGCATTACTTTTTCTTTAGAAAGGAAAATCATCATCTTTTTTGTTTTTAATCCAATGAAACACACATAAAAATAGATTCCCATGAGAGAACAGCAAAGTCTACGTTATAATAGCTAAATTAAAAGATAATTTAAGAAAAAGACACAAAAAGGAAGATAGGCTTGATCCTGCAAAGTTAGAAGCATTCTATCCTTGCATTAACAAAGCATTTCTGTTATTTCTTAGTCTTTAAATTCATGAATATTCCTCACAGAACCCTGCAGAAGCAGGTAAATTCTTATAGTTCAGAGTGTGTTTAAGTGCTGTGCTGGGTAGGAATTAGAGCAGTTTGAGCTCTGCAGAATCAAGGATTATGCTTAAATCTTCTGTGGTTGATTTTATGCTAAACTGCTAGTGTTTACCTGAATGTCTTATTCTTCTCTCATTCATTTCTGATAAATCTGAAATGCATATAGTTATATTTAAGACTAAATATTTGCTCCTATGTATCACGAGTAAAGACTTCATGATAAAGGAGAAAGAGGCTTTTATAGGGCTCAGAACTGCATACTTCTTGACCTTATTTCTAGTATTGTAAGTTGAAAACTTCTTGCCACTGATGAAATTAGTGCACATGCCCTCCTTGATTTTAATTTTCTAGAAGAAGGTGTTTATAAAGAAGGAGTAAAAACTATTCCATTTCTAAACATTAGAGAAGATCAGCTCACATGCTAATTCCTTTTCCCCCTTTCCCTCTGTTTCGTGCCGTAGTGATGCTGAAGCTGCAGTGTGCCCATGAAGCACCCAATTTCCAGAGAAGTTACCCACGTGAAAAGAAATTGAAATATTGTTTTCCTCTGCACAGCGAGGACAGATCAGACGGTTATTTGAGAGCTGCACAGCTGAAGTACACTTCCATCTCAGAAGAAAATATTCAGTAGGCAACAAAACTACTGATGGTAGGGCTTTAGCTACTTACCACTGCACAGAGCCAAACAAGTCAAATATGAGCAGGGAAAAAAGCCGCAACCAATAAACAAATCACAGTTAATAAATTACATGAACAAAGACATGCAAAGGAAATGAAGTCATTACTGCTCTGACACTGTCCTTGTGTTGTCTGTACATACTCGCTTTTCATACATCGTTCTCTTCTGAAACCTTAAGTCTCCACTAACTGCTGAGGTAGTGAGACATGGAAAGAATTCATGTTATTTTATATTAAGATCAAATCAATATGCAGGCAAGAGAAAAGCTACTTCATGATCATGTTATCAGCCTCCAACTTGAACTCCTTTGTGTTGCAGAATGTAGTAAGGGGGGCTTTAGGGTTTTTTTTTTATAAATGTGGACTTAAACAACTAGATAACTTCCTTCATAAAAGAGGTTCTCAATTTTTTCAATACCTGTAAAGAAATACTTACAAGAATTCAAAACCACAAGAAATAAATGCAAATTCTGGTCAGTTTGAGCCTTCAGGTACTTAAGGGGTAGGAAAAATATTTGCATAGAAAAACAAATTTATTCTACATTCTAATTTTTCAGCATCATGAGGAATGAAACAGCAATGCAGATAAACAGTGCCCATTGTGTTAAGAATGCAGGCTTTTGCGGGGGAAATGAATTTACTGAAAACAGATCAAGCTGGTGCCAAAAACTGCTCTTATCCTCAAGGTTTGAATAAAAACTCGAGCAAAAGGCCCAGACCTCTGAAGTTGGCCAAGATGTCACACGAATTTCCATAAACTACATGCACAGTATGCTTAGAAAGGTGCCAACATTAACCTGCATGGATATCTGGAAACACTAAGGGACTGAAAAAGTTTCAAGTCTTTCACTTACAGCATTCCACAATGTTTTAATTCTCAAGCAAAACAGCTGTTCAAAATGTCTCTGTAGCCTATTTTCCACAAGCAGTTCCTGCAGAGCCAAAGATGCCTCATTCTTTGATGGGATTAAAAGTTTGGCTGATAAAGACAAGAGCAGAACTGCAATATCCTCAGAATTCTGTGAGGGTTTTAAGGCCCTAAAGTATATAGTTACTGGATTAAAAACGGACTACATTACCTAAGTGTTGAAAACACTTAGAAAAGAAAACTAAAACATTTGTTAGAGGTAATCATGACTCAACAGGAGTCGGTCCCATTGATGATACAGTATTTACAGTCTGGAGGCAAATATATCCCTGCAAATACAACTAGAAGCAAACACAGTCAGAATGATAAACAGTAAAGAATTGAGTGAGTTCACTCAGAATGGACCCAGATGCTTGTTAAACTGAGCCTACACGACAAACCCAAAAGTTGTAAGGCAGCCCAATGCAAAGTCATAAAGCTACAAATATTGTCATGCACAGCTACAGAGTGGGGGACCCTGCCTTGCACAGCAGCAACTCTAAAATCAGTGCCAAGTTCCAGTGTGATCCTTGGCTGTGAAAAAGAGAAGTAATAAGAGATCAGGATGTGGTTCTGCTCACCTCTGAAGCACTCTTGAGACCCATAACAAAATGCTGCTCATAGGACTTCTCATGTTTTAAAGACACTTCAAAATTGAGAAGGACGCACAGAGGAGGTTTTGGAATCAAATGAAGGGACAAAGAATACAAAATAAAAATTGATGACACTTCCTTTTCTTCAAGGAGAAAATACCTGTAATCATGGCTCTTAAATCCTGCAGAGTAAGTCTAACAAGACTTAATGACAAAAAAAGCCCCAAAGTGAGGCAAATTGAAATTAGATAAAGCTTTTAATAATATGAATGATAAACTACTGAAATAAGAAAAGAAACAGCAGGTTCCCTGTTCCTAATATCTTCATATGATTGGATGCCTTTCTGTTAACCACGAAGGATCACTGGGTGAAACCATGGCCTGTATTCCCAGAAGACTGGAAAATTGGTCTATGGACCCTGACATGAAAGGTAATTTCAGCAGTTTACAGCCAGCACCGTGATCTTCCTCGTTTATGTCATCTGTACAATTGATCCTGTGGACAGCAGGAAAAACTGCTACCTGGAATTCAGGTTTGAACTAAGTAAAAGTCTGCTCTCTCTCATTAACTCCACTGCCACAGAGCTTCTCAGTGCTCTCCAAACCACCAATCCACAGCTAGACCAGAATAGCCATCTGCTACTCCAAGACAGAAGGTTCACATTAAGCTTCTTCATAATGTGTATCACAGGTGAAGTCTATGAGTATTTTTATACAAGCTAACAATCATATTATTACAATATACTCTGACTTTTATTGCAAATGCGACTCCCTCCACTCCATTTTCTTTAATCATAAACAAATGCCACATTTTGCATATTCCTACTCTGAACATTCCCTTTTATGATAGTCAACACTGCCTCAAAGCAGTCAATCATTACAGAATTCTTATTGTTCTGCCTTGGTTTTTCCCCACCAATTCACATCAATAAACCAGAACTAATATTGCTATGAACTTGGATAACAGAACCTGACTTGATAGCTTATTCTAGTGAAAGAAATGCCTCTTTTCAACACAGCATTTGCAACGACTACTGTATAAAAGGTAGTTCAATTGTATGATTGTGGTTATCATGATTTAAAAGGATTTCTTTTCCCTGCTGGAGGCTTCTGCAAAGTTGGGTAAATCCAGAGAGAAAAAATTACTTTCACACAAAGAAATAGTAGCTGACTAAGGACTTTTCTGAAAACTTCACCCAAATTCAGATGAAAGTCCTCAGGCATTAGACAAGACCACATCTCAGAGTAAAGATGAGTTTATTTCCTGCCTGTTTTTCAGCTCATATTCTGATTCTGCATGCAGTGACTGCATTTCAGCCTCCTCCCTGGGAGCTGGAGGAGGCAGGTCCACTTACAGCAAGTAAAAGTGCACTGCCAGCTAAGAGCATTAAAGTATTCCCCAGGGAGCAGCAGGACACCATCTTCCCCCATCCCAGGGGGAGTCTTGCTACCTCTTTCTCTTGGAAAAAGGTGGTGAGACAGCCCTTGCACTGCAAGAGACCTCAGATTTCACCAATGTTTACAAATCAAACTTTGTTCCAGGCAAGGATAAGACTGTTACATTGTCCAAACAGATGGGTTATTCTTTCATGTTGCTCACAGTAGTAAGTGTAGCTTTAGCACGCAGCCTCGAAAGCCCAGACTCTCACTACCTGTGGAGCAGAATAACCAAGCTGCCAGGCACCATTTTATGTTCTGCACCTGTCTGGGAACAGCCTTCAAGGTAAGTCCCACATACAAGTAAATCAAGACAAGACGAGTCACAGGGGAAAGGAATCTTGGAGAATAGAGACAAATCCTACAAGAAATCAATTATAAATATGGTGCCAAGCAAAGAAGTGAAGGCACTGATATGAGACTTGGCTTTTGGGGAGTATTCAAGACACTACAAGAATGGTGCAACCATGTTCAACTTTCCCATACATCACAAGAGCCTGAATCTCCTGTGACACTGTTACAACTCAGCATCATTCCTCACCTCACCTTTTATTCCATCATTTCTTTTTTGGTCATTGTCTCTCTTCTTATGCTATTATTCATTCCCATCTTCTTCCTGATCATCAGTTTGCAGACTTCCAACAGCCTTCCAGACATGTGCCTTTCCTCCTCTTCTCTCTGTTGACTTACTTACTGAAGCCTCATACTTTATTCTCACTGCTCTCAGTGATTTCTTTCCTCCTTGTGCATTCAGAAGGTTTCCACACTGCCTGATCAGGGTTCTTAAAAAGATAAAAAATAAGGATGCACAATTTATTATTTACAACTTTGTGTGTGTGTGTGATTAAAATTTAGATCAAACCATGGGCAAATGACATGAATAACAACATCTCCAACAAAATGCCTGTTTCCCTTCATAGACCAAGAAACACAAGATCTATTTGAAAAAAAACAGTACTTCCAAAGCATAGTTCAGTGTTTTTTCTTAAGTAGTGTTTAATTTGATATATTTTATTCTCAATCGCTTTACTTTCCATTTCTTTTTAAGTTTTTTTCATTATTTTACTATTATGAGATGATCCTCACTCCTTTCTCACTCTGAGAATCCTCTTGACTCAAGTCAAACTTGTCCAGTTAAGCATAAGCCTGTTAGATAATATGGCTTTAGAGGGATTAATTTCTTTTCCTTACAGCATTCATTAGCTTGGACAACCACTGTTTGTGGTGGAACTGGACTGGAACAGCACAGTGTTGGGCTCTTGGCAGAGTCAGACCTTCAGGTACAAGAAGAAGAGCCACCAACCCAGCCCTCCCTATGAAGCTTTGTGGTTTCCCAGGGAGGATCCAAGATCAGTGCTTCCCTGTGGCCATTCCCTGGGGGCTGCCTTGTGCTTGCATGTATGAGGGGTCAGAGGGCAGCACAGAGCTGCCCCTTGTTGGCCCTCTCGTCTCTTGTCTGTCACAAATTCCCGTTCTCAGATGTTGGCAGCACTGTTCCCCTGTCAGTGCTCCCAAGTCACAGCCTACAGGACACACTGGGCCCCCCTCAGGGATGAAAACCAGCACCGTAGCTACCTCAGAAAATGGCCACTGCATGAGACGCCTTGGGCAAACAGCCAGCTCATGGCCACCATGCATGAAGAGCCTTGGGCAAACGGCTGCATGGGGCAAGTGGCCACGTGTGGGGAGCCTCAGCAAATAGCTGCCTCAGGTCAATGGCCACCACAGACGTGGCTCTGCAAGCAAACGGCTGTGTCGGGCAAATGGCCACCACATGAGGCGCACCATCGCAAAATGGCTGCCTCAGCCAAGCGGCAGCTGCGGGCACTCCTACCTTCGCCTATGTGCCCTGCAATGTGTAGGACTGTAGGGGTCACTGAGCTGCCAGCCCAAAACAGAAGTTTTCCTTTCACACTCCCAAAGCAGGACTTGGAGGCCTGCACTGGAGCAGCTGGAGTAGAGAGCTCCCGGCCACGCCAGCCACTTTTCCCCTGCCGCAGGGCCACCATGGCCCCCTGGTCAGCTCTGGGCTCACTCCCCTGTGTGACCTCCCCACAGCTGCTTTGTGTGCTGGGGCTTGTCTGAGGCAAACGGGTGACAGGGCTTCCTCACGCACAAGCTCTCCAGTGCATTCGCTCCCCTTCTTCCTGACCGCCCTGAAGCGTCCATCACCAGCAAACTCATGGCGAGCCACCCCTTTTGGGAACTCCATTTGGGAAGTCTGCAGTGTGAAATTGGAAACGGAGAAATGAATTGTGAAGGTACGCACTGCTCCCAGAGGCTAAACCCATTGCTGTGGCAATCACAGAGAAGCACAACTCACGTGTGAAAGGAGGAGAGGAGCTGTGCTGCAGATTCCCATTGCTGCTCACTGTGAACAGCACATCTGGGCTGGAAGATGGGGGAAGGAAAGGGAAATCGCATTCCTTTCTCAGGCCATTTTAGTTAATACCTGCTGTGACCATATGTTTGCACGTAAAAACAATCTCTGCATCAAATATTAAAGCATTGCCAGGGAAATCTCCCAAGTTCTGTACTTAATGGCACTCAATCTTTTTTGTTCATTCCATCAGTCCTCATTAAATAATTAATAACAGATTAAATATGATCTTTCACATGAATACAATTCCAACTACTGTTAAAAGAGCAGCTCCATCTGACGCCCACCACCTAGGACCAAGTGATACTCTGTGCCAATTCACCACTTATACTTAAGTTTTGAGCTAAAGGGCAATTCTTTACCCCTGAGTACAACTAAAACTTTCCAGCTGAGTGTGCTTGTAATAGACTTGCCACTGGAGGGACCAGCTCCTGGAGAGACCGGGGCATCACAGCTGCCCTCAGCCCTCTACTCTGGGGCATGGCTGCCTCCTGAGGTTTCAGCCACTTGCACTTTCACACCTTTGGCAGCTCCCCATATTCCCCCAGGCCCTGCCAGACAGCCCCTCTCCAGCCTTCTGCATGCCCCTAATAGGGTGTCAAGGCAGCAGCCCAAAGCCACGTGCGTCTCCGAGACCCTGCAACAACCCTTGGGACACTTTCATCAGCTCCTCATGCTGCCTCTCCCAGCCGTTTTCTGTCCTTTGACCTTCCCTCTTTCTTGGCAGCTCCATGGAGCCTGTTGCCATGGAAATGCCTAACTGCAAACCCTCCTCATCCCCAGGAACTGGCCCCTGGAAGGTTCTTTCTCCTGCTAGCAATAACCTCTCCTGGGCTGTGTGCCCCAGCAGCCCTGCTTCCTGGAAAGGGGCACCCCACTGGCCCCCCTGCACTCAGATTGGTCCCTGTACTGCCAAAAGACAAACCCCACACCAGAAGCACATCAGACACCACACAAACAACTCATAAGTTATGCGTATAGAGTAGCCACAATGCAGTCAAAAGTGTTGGATACATCAGTGAGAAAAAATAATCAGAACCACTCTGGTTCCCCAGTTTGCCAGTACTCGGCTAATAACATTCAGAGTGTTCTACTTAACATAATAACAATTAATTAACTTTAAACGGGTGTCATTCTGCCCCAATTAAGCAGAAGAGATTTCCAAAAAGGAAAAGAAATGCTAACTGACATATGACATTGAAAATCTTCCCCATAAATCTTCATTTTGGCTTTGTACACATTTAATATTGCTGTTGACAAATTTTGCAAAAAGTATTTGTACTTAAATTAGGTTAAAGAAGTTAATACGAAGGAATAAACCTATATTTTTCAGTATGAGTGCAAATAATATTTTTTTCATTTCTTGATTAAAATGTCGTAGAATATAAGAAAATGTTATTCTCAAGAAAATAATGCTAATGCTGTGCTCCAAGCAGAATGATACATAATGCAAAAGGAAAGATGGTAAGAAGTAATTCATATGTATCCACCACAATTCACTGATGGGTGCTTTTCTTTAACCAATATAGTGTCTAATGGGTACAATAACTGGAATATGAACAAAAAGCCATTTTCACTTCCAATACACTTTACAGTGATGCTTTTGCAATTTAAGTCCCATTCTTAATCCATTTTCACAGGCCTTTACCTTAATGCAACAAAATGAAAGTGACCTGAGGGACATTTTCTCCTCTCCATCAGAAAATATAGGCAAGCTATATGAACTCCAAAATATGTAGATTGTTGTTCTTAAATGGGGTTGTTTCAGTCAGAGCACAGAGACACTTTACAGCCACCGAGGCATAACTATATATTTACTTTCCCAGCAGTTTAATTTGCTACACTGCCACTGGTATTGCAACCGTGGTTTACAAAATCATACCACAATGTTTAATGTACTTCAAATTTCAAAACCCTCTCTGGTAATTGGGTGACAGTAATTGACTCAATCTTAGCAAAGCATTCTCAATAATCGCTTTATTATAATTTTTTTCAATTACTTCACAGTTAAGTATAAATTTCTTACCTCTGAGTGGCTCACTTGAACTTACTTTAAAATGATCACCTTTGCCAGTTACAAAAATAACATGTTAGATTTTCTCTTACAGTGAAACATAGCGATTTCCAATGTGACTTAATAATTAAGAAATCTAATAGGCATCTAAATGGGAGACACAGTCAAGAGGAACTAGTTTTTAAAATTTTCATTGAGCCGCCATTGAAAAGCAATGTTATATTTTATTGTGCAGAAAAGCAAAACCCACCTGTTCGCTTTCCTTCAATTAAAACACATTTCAGTCATAAAAAGGAACACATGAGTTTGTGAAGATATTTCACTCACCACAGAAAAAAGACTGTGGGAAAAAGAGAATGCAGAAATAAAAATTGAAAGCATTAGCAATAATTTCAGAAACATATTTCAATTTTTGCTATATATAAACATGTGGCTATGTTTTCATAACTACAAAACTAAAATAAAGAACATTTTATCCAAAAAATATATATAGTTTCTCCTATAGTTGTTTCAGATTGAACTCTTTTCAAGGTGTTTATTACCAGATAAAAAAAAAAATCTTATTTAAGAGCTGTGTTTAAAAGACATGTATTTTTAGTCTTAAAAAAAAAATCTTAATATGTTCTTTTTTGTTTTTCCTATGACAGCCCTTTGAAAGGACTGAGGCTGAGCCCAGAAGTTTCATACTCCTATTTACTATCTCTAGAAATAATTAAGTAATTACTGTGATCCAGTAGTTTCCTGGGGAACAGGAAGTGGTTTGTGAACTCCAATTAGGGAAGCATGGAAGACAGAACTGCTGTCCACATCCTTATCTCTTCTGGGACTGGCATATGTGTTTTATTCAAACAAATTACCCTTGCCCACCAAACCTGAATTGCCAATCTCCCCTTCCCTGAAAAACTGAATTGCAAGCCCTGCACAGGTGCTGGGATGTGGTGGAAAGGAGACACAGGTACCAAAATCATGGCATGCATCAGGAGAACGGTTCAAGTGTACAAGGCCACACCACTTCTGCTTTTGGGAGAAGACCAGCTCCCAAGTACCCAATGAAATGTTTTCCCTCTGACCTCAGAAAAAGCAGGATCATGTCTTGCTTCTCATATGCAGGTTCTGGATAAAAATGAAGGATGTATTCAGCCCTGTTGGCAATCACAGTAGAGGTGCTGATCACTGAATTAACAGACACAAAGTCTAAGTTCCCCTGCTCAGCTTTTAAAAAGCAGTGTGCTCCCAGGGAGCAATGCCATCTCTACATCTTTGTCTATGTGTTTGTCTGCCATTTGTTACACTGAAGTTACTAGGAAGTTGAGATGAGTGATGGCAGAAAAGTGGGCCCTAAAATACCCTTTAGTTTGGTGTCTGCTCAATGTTCTGACAAAGATTATCAAACACGGTGGGTGATTTTCAGGGACAAAGTTCTTCCTGGTGTTAAGCAGTGTGATGGAAACAGCGACACAGAAAAAAAAAAAAGAAATCATTCTCTTGTCACCCTGGAGAATGTTGGAGACATCCTTGTGTAGTTTTACTGCCATGGGATAAGTGATAAATTATGTACATGGCACATCATCATGCTGGTTTTGGGGAGGGCATTGCGAAGGCAAAACACATACCTTCCGCTCATGAATGTCAATCTAACGAAGTCTTGGAAGCTGATACTGCTGTCAGACTGCTACAAAACAAAAAGGACAGGAGACAGGTTGTCTGGGTACTTGCCATGAATGACAACTGAACAGATACTTCACTGTCGGAAAAAGCAACAGAGATCCCAAAAGACCTCTTTGTGGGATAACAGAGTTGATTTTAAAATGGTTTGCTTCAAGGCTGTGAAACAAGAAATTCTCCAAACACTGGAAAGAAGAAAGTTACCATCACTAGGCTAGACCTTGAGATCAAGTATTGGCTTAAAAAACAGTAATAGAAAAATATACTGTTGGATCTGTTTTCTCAAACCTGGATATTCTGCCTTTTCCAGATCATTCCAGCCCATGGCCTGACACAGCTCCTCAAACCACCACCACGTTCTACCTCCTTCTTGCTTGGTGGAGACTGGTTGTATTTCACGCACTCTGAAACATGGTAAAGGCTCTATAGCTGTGCAAAATGTAATTAATTAGCAAATGCTATGACACAATATAGAAAACAAGTGTAAGCAACTTTCTATAGAGGTTTACCTTGATGTGGATGCATACATACATACATGCACACATCTCACCCCCAAATATCAATAATCAGTGAGTCCCTACTCTATTTTGTAAGTGTGTTTGTTCTTTGATTTGATTCTAGTTCCAAGATCATTTCTCACATGCCAGTAATTGCCATTATATGATTTAGCAGTAAATCAGTCCGGCCCTTCTGATATTTTTAAACAACTTTATGGATTCTTTGCTGAAAAGCAAAGCATCTCACAACAGAGAAGATGCTGACAGAAGACACAAATGCAGGTGCTGATACCCGGCTTTGGCACAGATGAGAATATAAATGTAAATACTCCCAGTACCTGCTGCCTGTGGTTGGCAGCTGTAACAGAAACCCAAAAATCAGCTCTAACTGTGACTGTTGGTCAGCCTGAGATTTTATTGGTGGTAGAGGATCCATATACAGAGCTGTACAATTTAAGAGTACGTTGCCTATACAATTTGAAAATACACATCCAAAGAATGAAGCTAGAAGAAACATCTATGTCACAGGGAAGAGGAACCAAAGACAGGATATCACAGAATGACAGCTTTACAAAGTATGTAAAATATGCTTGGGAGTTGGGCTTGATTTTATCTTTTGACATTTAACAGGAGCTGCTGGCACCATTTGAGACTATACTCTGTGCAATCAAACATGTAATTGTTTTGTATATGATGCCAGATATCCCTTAAGATATCCCTTCATCTGACATGTGCCACTCATATGATCAAATTTCATAAAGGCATTGCACATTGAGCTGTGCAAACAAACTCATGAATGCATTATCATTGGCAGAAGGTCAGTTTTAGAAATAGCATAGGGAGTAAACTGAAGAAAAAAGAGCAAAATAACCACTTTTCTAATGTCATCACTTGTCTACATTTCGGTCTTACTATCATAAAAAGCATATTTGATTTCTTTTACCCTTTGCTACAAACAATAATTTACCCCTTGCTCAGGAAATGCTCAAAAGATTACTTGTGGCACAGTCATCTTCTGTAGTTCTTTGAACACAACAGCAGTTCTAAAATCACCTCCAAACACCTACCAGCTTTGGTTTTGTCATGCAATGTACAAAATAGGATATACTCAAGAGTTAGAAAATTCAACAACATCTGATTGGTCACTAAACAAAAAAACCGTTATAGTTCATGGCAGAAGAAAAGGCGTTGGTTCATTTTATAAGGTGAACTGCCTATAAGACAGCAGCTGTAAAAGACTGAGCAGTAGAACTAAAGCACTAACCAAATACACCAAAAAT